GACTTAGACTTTAGCTAGTTGACAAATTCTGACTTCAGCTGTAATAAAGTATATTTAGTATTTCTTCTTACTGTCATAAAAAATAAGAATATATTTACCAGTCAACAGTTAGAAAATGTTCTCTGGTTATAGGATGAAACTTGTCTCTATTAGCTAACATCTTCTTAACAAGTCAGGTTCCTCTAACAGAAACTTAAAAATACTCACATTGGTAATATTATTTTACACTCTGTAGGTCTAAATATTAATCAGATATTTATAATATTATTTTACACTCTGTAGGTTTAAATATTAATCGGAGAACAAATCATCTGTAATATTTAATAGTTTGTGTTAAATTTTAGCATGATTCAACAGATCTAAACTCTGTATTTATGCTCCACAAGCTAATATCTGCTAACCAGTTCAATAAATAACAGTGATTACATGGACTTTATCAGATTATTTTAATTTTAAACTGTTACATTATGTTCTGCTCAGATCACATTGAGCTAAATAAGATCAAATCTGCTGACTTGTTGTAAAATGAGAAGTTTTCCTGTTTATCTTCTGTTAATAAATCCATAACACAAACAGCTTTTCTGACATTATTTAAATCATTAGATAGATTATATAAACTGTAAAATRTTAATAATAATTGGATTAATATTATTATTAATAGTTTTAATGATTTCTACATCATTTTTTTCTGCTCTGTTTTCATCAACATGTACAGTAATGGGAAATCCAGAGTCTTGACCATTTAGCGTTAGCCGTTAGCTTCTCCAGCCGATCACACGGTCACGTGGTTTTTTGTGCGCTCCAGCTGTTCTCCTTGGTGTTTTCTTATCTTTGCCTTTGTGTGTTTATGTTGCCTGACAGCCCTTGTCCACAGTAATGTTCAGGTCTGTGTGTGCCACCAGTGTGACATGCAGAAGCTGACGGTTGAGGAGCTGAAGAGGCTTCTGTACGACACCTTCTGTGATCATCTTTCCATGAAAGACATCGAGAACATCATTATGACCGAGGAGAATCACATAGAGAACCCCGAGGACTGCCAAGTGGATATAGACAGTAAGGCTGAGGACTCTGTCCACCTGTGAAAACAGTGTTTCTGGCAGTGTTCATCCCCTAATATTGTGTTCGTGTAATTGTATTTTCTTTCCTTTTTGATGAGCTCTTTCATTTGGAAATAGCAATCAGATATCATTCAGGTGTAAAATATTCTACGATTCAACGTTCCTTCAGGTTTTTTTTTCTTTTTGTCTCCCCCAGGTTCCAGCCCAACGCAACAAGTCAAGCAAACCTGCGTGCGCAAGAGCCTGATCTGCGCCTTCGCCATCGCTTTCATCATCAGCGTCATGCTCATTGCAGCCAATCAGGTGCTGCGAAGTGGCATGAAATAGGAGCTGTGGCAGTTTTCGGCCTTGATTTCCATCTAAAGGCTTCATTAACGTAAAAGACAACTTTTTTTTTTTAAAAAAAAGGACAAATACAGACAATCACACAAGTGAGACACGTCGACAGATGACTGGAGAGTAACTGGAGCCGCAGAGGACACTAAACGTGTCTCGTCTTGACAAACGGACAGTTTCAAGAGCAAAAGGACCTCACATATAAAGACACAGCAATGTGTTTGTGGTGGACGGCCAACAACACATATCAACCGCCACAAAACAACCCGGAGTATCCGTTAGCTATGCGCGTTGAGCAGAGTTACATTCAGTTCGGTGGCAGCTATAGAGAGAAGTGTAGTGACTGTGCAGTTCTGTTTTTTGTCCAGTGTACCATGTGCTTCAATGTAAACAGTGGAAAGAATCAGTGAGAAAATGTCCAACTGTTGGTGAAATGCATTAACGAGGCAGAAGAATGCTCCAGGATGAAAGGTGCGGTGTGCTCAGTGCAGCGCGGCGCAACGTTGTCTCACATCCTTTCGGGAATAAGAATTGCTTTCTCAGAATCAAAGATCACAGGAAAGGTTTGCAGGGAGGCGATCGTGTGGATGGTTTCACTCATTCACAGCATTGCTGAGCTTCGGTGTGATCAGAACAAAGCAGGGTGAAGCAGGTTAACACTTCTTTAAAAACAGCACTGATGGATGTGGACAGACATGTTGTAAACACTTGACACCCTCAGCTTTGCAGGCCTCAAAGGATGACTATCATCTATGCATGAAATGCATGGATTTAAACCCTCGTCTTTGCACATTTGTGATAGTTCTTATCAATGTAGTAGTCATCATCACTGTGTAACAGAACTGTTGTCAAACAACTGTGAGCGAGAGAATTGATGCAAGGTGAGCAGTTGCAAAAAAAGCAAAGCATAGAACTATAAAAAGAAGGGCTTCTTTAAGAAAGGCGGGTTGAAAACAAACAGGAACTCTTGCTTAGTTATGGAGACAAAACGCCTTGGCAGGCAGCCGTTCATTTCACACCACCACAGGAGAGCAAATGTCTTTAAGCTGCGTCACTGAATAGTTTAAAATATGCATTTAGACTGATCTGGTTGGTAACAGGAATGTGGTTGTAAAAGAATGTACTTTGGTCCTAATTTCTATCTGGATGCATTGCTGTAGAGCAATAACTGAAATAAATGTGTCATCACGCTGTGGTCAGACAAACACTCAGCTGTCACTGGATCTACCCATCAAGAAGTGTTCTTTTTGTGCTGTAGGGTCTTGTTAATATGAGAGAGACTGTACCTCTGATGGGGACAACCTTTGGTTAGAATGGGAAAAGAGGACAAATAATTGCAATAAAATTCAAAACTCTTGAGAGCGCCATACATTTGACTCACTGTAGGTTTAGGTTCACATGCATGCTCTCTGGTGATTTTTAAAAATCAATTAAATTTATTTATTTATTTATTTATTTATGTATTTATTTATTTAATGTTGTTAATCAATTTTGTGCAAAAATCCAAGCATTACCAAAGCCACATTTGAAATCTGGGACTGCAGAATAGGCCAGTTTTACAGCAAAGTGAACAAAACAACAAAAGAAGCAAACAAGAATTCACATGAATTTTAAATTGAGAAGAAACCACACAGCCTCTATGGTGCAGTATGAGGGCCAAAATTAAGACTACTGCACAACCAGCGGTTACTTCATCCTAGTAGCCAGTGTTGTATAAAGTACCACAAAGTGATACTTGAGTAAAAGTACAAGTATCTTACCAAAAAATTACTTTCGTAAAAGTTAAAAGTCTCCTTTAGGAATATTACTTGAGTAAAAGTCTTAAAGTATCTGATATTTTTGTACTCAAGTATTAAAAGTGAAAGTATTGATTTAAAATGAGCAGTTAGATTTTCTGTAATGACATTTATTAGGAGGTGACCTCCCCAAAAAATGTAGAAATGACTATACTGTATTAAAATAATTAATTTATGTTAAATTTAGTTGTTTTAGTTTGTATATACAATTAAGTCCACTCTATCTAGGAGGGACAGTTTCTATGGATTGTATTTATTTTTTTACCAGAACAAGCTGGTAAGGAGTAGAAAGTACAGATAATTGTGTGAAAATGTAAGAAGTAGAAGTAAAAAAGTAGGCTGAAAAATAATTACTCATGTAAAGTATAGATACCCAAAAATTCTACTTAAGTACAGTAAAGAAGTATTTGTACTTAGTTACTTTACAGCTCTGCTAGTAGCAGGAGGTTATATCTATTCTTAAGCCAGCTGTTGATCTGATTAATGATAGGGGGGCATTGCTAACTGAACAGCTGACCCCGGTAACTGACTATTCATTTACGTTAGTATTGGAGAGGTTAGCGATTAGCATGGATAAGCTGGCGTAAGCATCGGAGAGGCTAGCAACTAGTCTTAATTTTGGCCCTCATACCGCACTATACAGCCTTGAGTTTATTGTTGCAACTTTATTCAAATCATGTTTTGCAAAGTTGTTTAATCAGAAAAGATTTAAGCTTAGTTTAAGCTGAGACAAGTAGAAAAGCTTAAAAAGTAAAAAGGATTTTCCTCACATTTAGAACCATATTGACTTTATGACACTGCAGCTGTTTAATGTAATTTAAAGCATCTCAAACCAACAACAAAATTAAGTTTCTTTTTTTGCCTGAATCTGTGAATCTGTGCAGGGTTTAGGATTATCTGATGCACCTCAGTAATTTAATCAGCATGTAATAAAGCAACAACAAAAACAACAACAACAAAAAAATACAAGCTGGTATATGTAAAAATTTTTAATAATTATTAATGACACCATTTGTCTTCATTTTGCACTTTAAGATGTGCTGCAGCACACAACTCACCGCCATGATTGTTCACCCACTTCCAGGAAAAAAGTTTATTTATTTTGTTACAAGAAAATGATGAAAAGGAATATTACTTGAGGGCAAGTGGTTCTGTCTAATTAGTTGTCTATGTTCTTAGTGAGCCAATGTTTTTTAGGGATTACACTGATATTTGTTTTCTTTGTTGCCTTATTTTTGTGGTATTGTGCGTCAAAATACAAATTTGCCCCACATGTTTAAAATTTATCAACAAAACAAAATGAGCTAGATTGTTTATTTTCTTTTTACAGACGGAAAAAAATAGCATTCAGAACTTGATGATATCCAGTTGAATGTTTCCTCCATCAAACTGTACTTTGATAAATGTCTCTGGATCTTGGAAAATTGTTTCTTGAACTCATAAACTCCGTTCATTGACTTCAGATGTTCTTTGTCTGTTGAACGGTATGTCACATGAATAAAACCACCAAACAACTGTGTCCATCTGTCTGTGGAAGAGATTTCAATTTGTCAAAAAGTAGGAGCTTGAAATGATTCGAAGGTAAGCAGTGGATCAGTTTCATGGTACTGATTGACATCCTGACATTTTAGAACGAAACCTATAGAGAGTAAAAGATTTTTGAAGGTTGGCTGAATTTATGGATTGCCCCCCACCCCAACCCCCACTCTGATTTTGAGAGACCTTTAGTGGTGCTTATGGCCCCTTCTGTCACATTCACCCCAGCAAAATTGCCTCTCAGGTTTTTATTGTCCACCAGTTTGGTAGTTTTCTTGAAATAACTCAAAAAACACCAAATAATTGCTACAACAACTTACTGGACACTTCAGGTTTGCAGAAAATCAATATCATTATTTAGCGCAACGAAAACTTTTACCATAAATAAAAAACTTTGCATCCCACTCCCTAATGAACTTCACGAAGTTGAACTGATCCAAATATTGGATGTTTTTACACAATTGTGCCATTAGCTTGAGGTAAGTCCGTTTTTAATGGCCTGCAATGGATGACAGCTTAAGTTTATCCAGTGAGGTGGTAAAATAAATACTCCTGCACTATTTCCATTTGGAAGAGTTTTTACTGTTGGCAACCAAACATTTTGTCATTCTTTGAGACTTCAGTATTGCCCATAATGCTACTCGTGACCTTCGTTGATTTAATGGTTATTTGAGGGTGTCCGCTTTACTGTCAAAATGAACCTGGTGCTACAGCCCAATTTAAAAAACGTTATGTGCTAATGTTATTTTCCAGTTTAAAAAAATACCCATCACTTATGGGAGGTTTATCAACACTGATTCTCACCAGTTAGTAGCCTTAAAGGGAACGTATCTGCAATATCCACTTTTTTTTAGCTGTTAAATACAATTTGTTGTGTAGTTGGAGTCTCTATTTTTGTATACTTTTTGGGTCATAACTTTTAACCTGCTTTAACCTCTATTTTCTGAGCTTTTACGTCAGTATTTGCAAGGGAGCTTTGAAAAAAGCTCTACACTTACCAATTACAATTTCATCGTCTTTATTCTCCTCTGGCTCCAACATGGACAAGTCTTCTGTTGTTGACATCTTTTAATTCATTTGTACATAAAATGTTTCTGCGCAGCTACATAACCATAAACCCCTCTATCAAACAAGAATGGACCACTCGGGCGGGTTGTAAAGTGCCTTGTTTGGATTTAAAGAGACAGCCTCAAAACGAGCTGATGTGAGACACAGCTCAGAAAAGGGGAGGGGCTTGTGAAGTTACAATAAGGAGGGACTCAGACCAAACCATTGCAGTTCTGCTTTAAATAGACCCGACTGAATGATTTAAATGTAAAAAAAGAAGAATTTTGAAACATTATCTGTAGTTTTTAAGAGTTTTTTTCAAACAATTCTCTGAAAAATGACATTACGGTGTAAAAGGAGGCTAACACTGAACCTCTACATTTTTGCTTGACACTGTTTGTTGGTTTGTCATCACTGTTTCAACTTAAACAAAAAAAAAAGATTTGAAAGCAGGATATGGCTTTATTTTCCTGATCTTCCACATGTATTGTCTTATTGCAAAAAGCTTTCTCATGTTCTTATACATTTGTTTAATGCATTCAATTCATTTTTTAAAAAAAAGGTCCTGACTCATTGCACAGCCTGGACGTGATTCCAGATTTTTATCATATATTTCAAATGTTCGAAATCACCGACCAGCTGGGCCTTTAGGACAGTATTTTCCAACCCTGGTCCTCAAGGCACACTGCCCTGCATGTTTTAAAAGTTCCCCTGCTTTAACACACCTGATTCAGATGACTGCAGTTCAACAATTAATTAGTTATCAATTGAAATCAGCTGTGTTGAAGCAGGGAAACAGCTAACATGCAGGGCAGTGTGCCTTGAGGAACAGGGATGAAAATCACTGCTTTAGGTGACGGACAAATGGTAGACAAGACAAAACATAACAGTGTTAAAATTAATTAGTTCAACAGCTGAGAAGAGAAATAAGGGTAAAGTTGTGCAAAGAAAAAGTACAAAAAATAGCTTCTTGAGACGAACAAACAGTGCAGCAAAGTGTTAAAACATAAAACTGCTAAAATTTCAAATACTTTCATAGACTCTTCCTCATATAATATCATTGTATTAATAGCAAAAGAGCTAGTTTCCTCAGTTATTGTTCAAAATGAGACTTAATCAAGATGTTTGTTGGTCCACACCTCTTCATCTCATCTATATTCTTGTGGATGTTTAAGCAGAAAGGATAATTATCTGCTCCCAATTAGGTGTTAAACACATTTGCACTAACCAACTAGGTGAATTGTCAGGAGACGTGCGGTGATGTTTGCCAGTCATTATTCTAAAGCTGCGCTGCCCATGCTGCATACAGATGATCATATTATGAAACACGCAGCGAGCTCTCTGAAGCTACAGTAGCTTAATTAATATCTGTGCATTCTGCAGCATTGTTTTCAGCTGGGACATCATCCATCACACCAGTCTGAAGTCTTTTCCCACGGTGACAAACTGATTAAAAAAGCTGCTTCAAACAATGGCAGTGGATAAAAATAGAGATATTTCTCATATATTTCTTAATGGAACCTGTTTAGCTTTATTGATGAAAACACAGATCTGTTTGTTTATGATTCCATTTTTTATTATTATTGTTGTGGGTTGGAACTACTTAAAAGTTTGCTGCATAATTAACAGACATTCACTTGTAAACAAAAGTGCAGAAAAATAATGTTTTTAAAGAGCGGGCGTGAGCTGGGCGGTATACCGGTTTGTACTGAAAACCAGTCTTATTTTTTGTAATGAGCTAAGTTTTCTGAATACACATCTGTGTAGCCTGAACATATTTGGAACGCTATGTCATGCTTACAGGTAAACTATTTCACGGGGGACATTTTTTCAAGCAGCACTGC